GGGGAGGGGGGAGGGTTCCCATGTATCTGCTGACCTTGTCCTTCTGGATGGTGGCGAGTTGTGGGTTTGGAAAGTGCTGTCTGAGGAGCTTTGATGAATTACTGCAGTGCATCCCGTAGATGGTACACACTGCATTAAGCTGTATGACCGCTCCCTGTCCCTGCGTTCTCAAAACCTTGCAACCAGTCAAGCGTTTTGTTGGTTCTTATAGCACAAGGACAGTTGAGAAAAGAGTGGGGAGCATCACAGCAGTGCAAACAGCCTGCTTCCTTAATCTTACCGATCTTGAAATGCACTCGTGAGTAACAGATTGTGTGTGGAGGAAGAGTGGGTGGGGAAATTCTCAGGCCACTGCTCTTCAGTGAAAGCACGAGTTAGTCACAAGCGAATCATGAGCAAGTTTTAAAGGTCTCTCTTGGAAATGTAATCACCGTGGTATTCCCCTGGTCCCCAATGCATTCTCAATCTTTACCACAAGTTCAGAAAAGGCACTTTAAGCAGTTACACATTTTGCACGACTTTTAAATGTGTTCAAAATGGTCATTGGCATACTCATTTTCAAATATTATTTTCCTTATTAACAACCTGGAGTATGGGATTTAGTGTGGTTTTATACTGGTGTGGGGGACAGGGAATTATTTAAAGTACAACAGAATCCATTTTTAAACACTAATCTGGGAGTTCATCCAAAGCAGGAGAACATGCTATTGGTGGCAGAGTCTGCCAAAGAGTTGTTCCAGTACAGAAGTCCCTAGTGGTGACATCACTATGATTGGACACTCTCCATTGAGCCACAATCTATATATTTTCAAATGCAGCAAATATTTTTACCATGATATCAAACCTACAACACAGGAGACCTTTTGGCTCCTGCTTGTGTCGAATCTTTGATAGAGCTATCAAATTTGTCCCACTCCCCTGCTCTTTTCCCATTTTCCTGATAATATTTCCCCTTCAGGTACTTATCCAACTCTCGCTTGAGAGTCATCATTGAATCTGCTTCCAGCATCCTTTCAGGCAGTGCATTTCAGATCCGAGCAACTTACAGCATGAAGAATTGTCTCCTCACCTTTGCTCGAGTTCTTTTGCCAATTGTTTGAAATCTCTGTCCTCTGGTTAACAACCTTTGCTGCCAGTAGAAACAGTTTCCACTCTGTCGAGAACCCTCATAATTTAGAATCTCTCTATGAAATTTCCTTTTAACCTTCATTGCTCTAAGGGCAACAATCTAATGTTCTCCAGTCCATCAACAACTCTCTAGCTGAACCCTAGACAGTCATCTAAAAACTGTTCAGCAGAATTTCCTTGATTTTGCACACTATATTTTACAACATTCATCTTAGAATTTCTCTCCTGTTTTACAATGTCAGGTCTCTTATTTAATATTATTAATAGGTTGGTGTCCACATAACTTCTGAGTTGTATCTATAACCTTGCCCATCCTTATCTCAGTAATCCCCTCCAGCCTCTACATCCCTCCCTATCTCTGCAGCCTACTCAGACTCCACAACCTTTCAAGCCTAGCTTCCTCAATTTTCAGCCCTCAACCACTGATGGCTGTTCATTCTGTTACCAAGACTCTGGAATTCCCTCCCAAATCCGCTGTTTCTTTACAATGCATCTTGAAATCTACCTCTTTGGCCAGGTTTTTGGTTCTTCTGTCTTAACACCTTGGGGGGTGCAGGTTCATAGTTCCTTGAAAGTGGAGTCACAGGTAGACAGGGTAATGAAGGAGGTGTTTGGTATGCTCGCCATTATTGGTCAGTGCATTGAGTACAGGAGTTGAGAGATCATGTTGTGGCTGTACAGGACATTGGTGAGGTCACTTTTGAAATACTGTGTTCAGTTCTGGTCTCTCTGCTTTAGGAAAGTTATTGTTAAACTTGAAAGGGTTCAGAAAAGATTTACGAGGATGTTGCCAGGGTTGGAGGGTTTGAGCTACAGGGAGAGGCTGAATTGGCTGGGGCTGAGGGGAGACCTTATAGAAGTTTAATAAAATCATGAGGGGTATGAATAGGGTGAATAGCCAAGGTCATTTCCCCAGGGTAGAGGAGTCCAAAACTAGAGGGGCATAGGTATAAGATTTAAAAGGGACCTAAGCAGCAACTTCTCATGCAGAGAGTGGTGCATGCATGGAATAAGTTGCCAGAGGAAGTGGTGGAGGCTGGTACAACTACAACATTTAAAAGGCATCTGGATGGGTACATGAATAGGAAGGGTTTAGAGGGATATGGGCTAAATGCTGGCAAATGGGACTAAATCAGTTTAGGATATCTGGTCAGCATGGATGAGTTGGGCCGAAGGGTCTGTTTCCGTGCTGTACAACTCTATCTCCTTGTTCGGCTCACTGTCAGATTTGTAGAGATTTGTACTTCCATGGGACACCTTGGGATGTTTCACCACGCTAATGCAATCTGGTGTTGCTGTAACGCTTCAGTTAATTTCAGAGTTGGAACCAGTACGAGGATTTGGGATGGAGGGGGTGAGAAAACTGTGGTTTTGAGGAGGGGGGTAGCACATGCGTCCATGCGTTAGTTGCACCTGAGGGCAAAGGCTTTTCCCTGAAGTTGCTAGTGGAGATTCAGTTGGGAAAAGTGTTTAAAAGAATTTGGTCTGCAGCTCCCTTCACCCTGAGGGGATATTTCCTCTTGCCCCCTTATCTCAGTGGCTTGATAGCTGTGTTCCTGGTGCATTCCTCTCTCAGTTTGTCCTTCAGTTAATGCCATCATCAGCAAAAGCCATTTGATTTCTGCAATTGGGCATTAAATGACCCTGGCATGCATTTTCCCATGGAACCAGAAGCCAAGACTGAGAAGGCACACACAGCACTAGCCTTGGGGCTAATTACAAATTATTCTATACTTAGGGAATATGAATGAACCATTGTAAAAAAGGAAGCCTCAATGCAGTTTTCAAATGCAATACACTCCATTTTCCATTATGTCCCCATGCAAGGTCTAATCTCACTCGAAACCAAAGAACGATGAGGCATTGGGCGTACAAGGCCCACTATTTTCTGGTAGGTTTTCTTTTTGCCAGATACTTCGTTAAACTTGTACATAGAGTGCCACTTTGTCAGACTTTAACCAGGCAGCAGACAGCCTGAAACTGTTCAGAATATAAACCATGCATCCAAAATCTAATTTGCCCGATGCTCTGTGTTCGGTGCTACGGAGCTATTCATTGTTAACTGTGTTCTCACTCGGACATTTGAGCATATAATCTCAGGTGGTAGAGGCAATACTACACAGAGAGATGCATCTTTCAGATGAGATTAAATCGAGGCCTCTCTGCCTTCAGGTGACTGTAGGAAGCCGACAGCTCGACTTCATTGAGAAATTTCCCTGTATCTAGATTAATATCCATCCCTCCACTAACATTTTTAAAAGTTAATAGATTATCTGGTCATTAATCGCAGTACTGTTTGTGGAATCCTAAAGTGAGCAAATTGGTCCAGATTTTCCCAGCAAACAGTGATTGAAAAGTAAGCAATTTTAGGAAATGCATTAAGATGATCTGTGGTCCTCAAAGGTACAATATCAATACAAGTTCCTTTAGGTTATCAATTAACTTGCATCAGTAGTAAAACAAACATCAGAACTCATCCCCTGATCCCACCCTCTGCTTCATACCGAACCTATTTGAGGAAAAATTCAACTACCCATGTCGCAAATTGGCCCCAGTGATCTAATGGAGAAGGCATTAGCTTTCTAAACCAGGGATTGCAGGTTCAAGTTCCATCTAGGGTGATAGGTAGCACAGTGGCTCACAGCACCAGGGACCCAGGTTCACCTCCACCCTCGAGCAACTGTCTGTGTTGAGGTTGCACATTCTCCCTGTGTCCGCGTGGGTTTGCTCTGGTTTCCTTCCACAGTCCAAAGATATGCAGGGTAGGGTAGATTGGCCATGGGGAAATATGCGGATAGGGTGGGATAGTCTTCAGAGGGTTGGTGTGTCGTCACTAGACCAAATAGCCAGCTCCCACACTGTAGGGATTCTATGATTATATACAGCAGTCTGTCAATCATTCAGACCAGTGAGCCTGTGCTTGGAAAGAAGGATCCCATTTGTTCCACACTGCTGATTTCCCCCCAGGGCTCCACAGATTGGTCACCTAACAGTATCCATCCAATTCACTTTCAAAGGTTTAATGTTTGCAGTGAACCTGGCAATCAACTTCCACAGATTTGAATGAAGAGCTAAGCAGGAGCACTTTTGGAAAATTTCCCTGCCCTGGTGTCTTTTAATCTTGTTCTTGATATAAGGGCGGTGTCTAAATTGCCTCCAAAGGCTATGTGGTGTTATCCCAACACTTTTAATTTTGACCTATATTCTATTCAGAGAGGTGGGAGTGGTGTCGTCGCTGGAGTACTAATCCAGTGACCAAGGATATTTTTCTGGGGACCAGTGTTCAAATCCCAGCATGACAATGGCTGGAATTTGAATTAAATCAATGGAATTGAAAGCTTGTCTCAGTAATTGTGATCAGAAAACCATAATCGACTGTTGTCGAAACTTGCCTGCCTAATGTGTTTTAGGAAAGTAGTTTGCATTCTTTACCTGGTCTGGCCTACATGTGACTCCAGACCCACAGCAGTATGGTTGACACTTAAGTGCCCTCTGAAAAGGTCTTGCAAGTCACTTAGTTCAAAATAACTCAGGATGGGCAACAAATGTGGGCCTTGCCACTGACACACATCTGCCACAAAAGGAAGAAATTAAACAAAAAATTAGGAATCCTCAAAAAGGAGCTGAGTTTTAACCATGAAGCAAATTCAGACCTCACGATGTCTTAACTTCGATTACTACACAATGTTTCTGTGTGCTTGGTTCTCAAAAGTTATGGTAATGGTCAGAGCTGGCAAAATGCAACATGAAAGACCAAAGCTGAGATGGCGGGGCAATATAGAGGTAACCTGAGTGGAAGAGGCACAAAGAAAAGTTAGTTCCAAGAGTCAACAGATAGGTGGCTC